ATAAGCAAACGGTGTACAACGGAAGGAAGGGAGAGTATGAAGAAAGCTAATACTAAAACATGGATACCACTACTCATGGCTCCTGGTCCCCTTTCAATTGAGATGAGGAAAAATCCTCAACTCAGTTGAAATATTCCTTCGGAGAGTATCATGGGCTACCAACCCACTCCTTGTCGCCAAGGAAGGCAAACACAGCACACCGGTACATGCGCGCACACTCATACACTCGCGCGCACACCCCGGACAAATAGTTGTCCGGGGTTAGGCACTCAATTGACCGCCTAATTTTTCTTTGCAGGAGTTTATATTCACATGGGTAATTCTACAGTAATATATGAATCTGTAACAAGGCATAACTCATTTTCGACCCCCTACCCTGCCCCACCAAACCCAGGGATGGTCCCCATAAGGGTTTATGTTTGAACATGTTATAACCCATTGGTACAAGAATGTTCAGGTGCATTGAAATCCAAATCTTTCCATTATAATTTTTAGTTATAGATGTATTCTATGAACTTTTTGAACCCCCCTGGTATATATAGGTTTATTAGAATATTTTGTTTATTCATTAGAAGTTCATAGTATGTCAGAGTTAAATGATTTTGCAGTATTTTAGTCTAGTTATATATGTACTTCATTCTTTTCCTTTATGTTCCTTTTCCTTATCCTTTTCCTTTTCCTTTTCCTTTTCCTTTTCCTTTTCCTTTTCCTTTTCCTTTTCCTTTCTTTTCCTTTTCCTTTCTTTTCCTTTTCAGTCCTGAAGAAGATCGCACGGGTGAAAGAAAACGACTTGTTAGACAGCACCGAGAAGCATTAGGGGGAAATTATCTTTTTGATGGTATGCAACTTTACCTTCCTCATAAATTAGGATCTGAGGTGAGAAAGATGGGATTATGAATATGAAAATATTGATTTCTATTTTAGGAAGCTAAATTGTTTGTGTAAATTTCTGCAACAGTGTTGTAATTCTCTGTCAGATGTCATCTTCAAGACCTGCCTATGTGAAGTACACTTACAATTTAAGGATTAAGTTTGAAACTTTGCAATAAAATATAATGACCGTTAAAGTATTTGGCTATGATAATTTGAATCGTAATTCTATAACTAATTTGTGTCAAAGTCCCTTTTAGATGTAATTTATATATATATTTTTTGCAGGTTACAGAACTCTCATCTAAAAGAGAAAGTGATGGTTCAGCTTATCAGATCAAAATCAAGTTTATCAAAGAATTGTCTACAATGGATTCACAAGGGCTACAAATTATGAATATAAAATTAAGGCAGTGGCTTGAACATCTTGGCTTGCAACTCATAGGACGGAACCATTTCAACCCCAAAGCTGCAGCAAGAGACGAAAGATACAAGTAAGTAATGTATAAAAATTGAAATTGAGGAACTAAACGGAGAGAGGATGGGAGGGGGGAGGTGATTGAAAGGGGGACAGAGTGAGAGAGGAAGAAAGGGAGAGAGAGAAAAGGAAAAGGAGAGAAAAAAAAGACAGAGGGAGGAATAAAGGAAGAGTGAAGGGAGGAAAAGTGTGGAGAGAGGGACACAGAAAAAAATGAGGGGGAGAGAGAGGAGGAAAGGGGGAGAGTATAGGGGGAGAGGAGGAATGAGGGAGAGTATAGGGGGAGAGGAGGAATGAGGGAAAGAGAGAGGAGGAATGAGGGAGAGAGAGAGAGGG